TCAGGACTTACCAAATGTCGTATTTTGAACATTCTCCTTACAATGCATCTAAGTTGGTTTCAGCGTTGCCGTGTCCGACTTTGACGGCCCGAGTTTGTAACGTTTTTTAAAGTAGGTTTAATATTTGTATCTTTTTAGCCAGACAATGCCCTACACTGACGGCCCCAGCAAATGGAGCTCTGAGTCCTGCCGGAGCGAACTCCTACCAGGACGTGGTGACGTTCACTTGTGACCAGGGATACGGACTGAACGGAGCCTCTAGTGTGACGTGTCAGGCGGACCAAACATGGAGTGCGCCTGTTCCAACCTGCCAACGTAATATTTGAAACTCATATGTTAAACCAATATCTATCAAAGTTTACATTGTTCACTTCTACCGTATACTGCACGAGATGTACCGAAGAACAGACAAATAGCTGATGGCTGTGGGAGATCGTTTCTGCATTTCGGATATATAAAGAACATACCGTATGGAACAATTTTTTATTTTATTTATTTTATTCACATTTATTTTCCGAGGATGAGGCAAAAAGTTATAAAACTTATCTCAGCCCTCTCCTCACACATAAAAGGAAACAATAAAACAAAGTAATAATAATAATAAGAAATGACAAGGGTACATAGTAGGCTGGTGTACAAATCAAAATGAATCAACTAAATCAAACAAAACGTCCTGTCTGCAAAATAAAGTTGAAAACCACATCAAATATGTTACAGTTGTTGACAAACGACAATGAGGGGTTACCCCTGAGAATGGTTGAACATAAAGTGTTGTCGGTGACGTTGTTTGTGTCAAATGGCAGAATGTTAGTTAGAGATGATAACATGTCAATGCGTTCGTCAGTGTACAGTGGGCAGTGTAGGAAGTAGTGTACAGCTGTTTCGTTGAAGTGACCACATTTGCACGCAGGACTGGGCACACATTGATGTTGGAACAGGTGAAAGTTTAACTGACTGCGGTTGAGTCTGAGTCTGGTAAGGTGGATAGCTGGGTTTCTCGGACCGTGGGAAAAGTGAGGTTGATTGTGAGGGCTGTGATAAAACGTCTCCAACTCTTTTTTAAAGATGGCAATTGATGTTGATGCTCGTGTAGTTAATGGCAAGTTATTCCAGGAAACAATGGAAGTAGGCAGAAAAGATCTTTTGAATTTCTCAGTTCTAGCAGGAATTAAGACGTAATTCTGATCAGTACGGAGACTGTAGGGGGTGGAGTCACGGGTTTGTAGTGGTACCAATTCCTGTAAGTATTTTGGTGCTAATTCTTTGATAATTTTATAAAAGTTTACAAGTTTATGCTTTTGACGCCTACATGACATGGTTTCCCAGCCAACCTCAGACAAGATGCTATTACTATTTGTTCCTCTCATTGCGCCAGTACATATCCGAGCTGCATTGAGTTGAACAGATTCAATTAAGTCAGAGTCTTTACCAGTTAATCCGTCCCAAACAACGTCGGCATACTCCAGTAATGGCCTTATCATTACTTTGTATAAGGTTTCAAGAGTTTTTCGTGGAACAAAGGATACTATTCTTTTTAAAAGGTTAATCCGTTTCATCGCGGTAGCAGTTATAATTGAAACATGTAATGACCATGATAGATTAGGGGTAAGATGTAGGCCGAGGTGTTTGTGGGAAGGGACTTCCATTAACTGAACTCCTTTAAAATACAATGGTGGGTGGGCAATCTTTATACGTTTGGATGAAAATGTAATAAGTTCAGTTTTGAGTGGGTTAAAGGTCACCAGCCATTGGTCTGCCCAGTTTTCAACTATTTTGAGGTCATGATTTAGTCTATCAGCTGAAATAACAGGATCTCTAACAACTTCGGTCAGTGAAGTATCGTCGGCGAATAGACGGCCGTCTGTTACCAAGTCATCCACTAAATCGTTAATAAAAACGAGAAAAAGCAACGGGCCTAAGAGCGAGCCCTGTGGCACGCCCGCATCAACAGGCGCCCAATCAGAACAGGTGCCGTTAATCACGACACGCTGTTGTCGGTCGTTTAAGTAAGAAGAGATCCAAGCTAGAAGAGATCCGGTTATTCCTAGTTGCTCTAATTTGAAAATTAACCCCGCGTGCCAGACTTTATCAAACGCTTTGGATATATCTAGGAAGACAATTTTTTGTCAGGAGCTCATGATAACGAACGTGTTTGCATCTTTTTAGCCAGACAATGTCCAACTCTGACGGCCCCAACAAACGGTGCTCTGAGCCCTACTGGAGCGAACTCCTACCAGGACGTGGTGACGTTCACCTGTGACCAGGGATACGGACTGAACGGAGCCTCTAGTGTGACGTGCCAGGCAGATCAAACATGGAGTGCACCAATTCCAACATGCCAACGTATGATGGCTTTTAAATATCTATGAAATCTTTGTCTTTACGTTGACATGGAACATTGTATCAAATCACAAGTGCGTATCTTAAAAGATGTTTCAAAAATAAAATAGCCATATCCTGTATGTGTAGGAGATTGGAAAACTATGTAAAACATGCTGTATGAAATTCGTACTGAGTTACTAACATACGTTTTTCTATCTTTTTCAGCTAGACAATGCCAAACACTGACGGATCCAGTAAATGGAGCTCTGAATCCTACCGGAGCGAACTCCTACCAGGACGTGGTGACGTTCACCTGTGACCAAGGATATGGCCTGAACGGAGCCTCTAGAGTGACGTGTCAGGCGGACCAAACATGGAGTGCACCTGTTCCAACTTGCCAACGTATGTACCTCAGTTTTAAAAGAAGGTTTTGCCGTTAGAAACAACGAATAATTTATCTCACATAATTGTTACATTAACAAAGTAATAGGTAATTACTTGTAGTGTGTCGATGTTGTTTTCATTTATCTATTGAGATTTGACACATATTTTATTTTGGACGTCCTCCTTCCAATGTTTCTTGGTTTCAGCGTTGCCATGCCCGACTCTGACGGCTCCAGTAAATGGAGCTCTGAGTCCTGCCGGAGCGAACTCCTACCAGGACGTGGTGACGTTCACCTGTGACCAGGGATACGGACTGAACGGAGCTACGAGTGTGACGTGTCAGGTGGACCAAACATGGAGTGCGCCTGTTCCAACCTGTCAACGTATGTACCCAGGTTTTACAACAGCATTTCCCAATTAAATCAATGCATAAATCTGTACTAATTAGGAGTAAACTAATATTTCTATTCATTTATTCATCACGATTTACCACATATTGCGTTTTGGACATCCTTCTTACCGTGTTTTTTGTTTTAGCGTTGCCATGTCCGACTCTGACGGCCCCAGTAAATGGAGCTCTGAGTCCTGCCGCAGCGAACTCCTACCAGGACGTGGTGACGTTCACCTGTGATCAGGGATACGGACTGAACGGAGCCTCTAGTGTGACGTGCCAGGCGGACCAAACATGGAGTGCATCTGTTCCAACATGCCAACGTAAGTACCCCTGTCTTAAAAGAAGGTTTAGCCGATGGAAACAACTAATAAATGATTTCAAATAATTGTTTCACTAACAATTAAGAGGTAATTACTAGTAATATATTGTTTTTGTCATTTATCTATCAGGACTTACCAAATGTCGTATTTTGAACTATTCT